AGGAGGAGGAGGAGGAGGAGACAACGATTACTGTGGGGTCCTTTAGTTGTCTCTGAACTTGCTTGTTTTCTTGCAGGCATTTCATGACCCAACTAGATAACATCATCAGTTCCAGAAGGGAGAGAAAGCAAATCCCAGCTCTTTGTAGCACTGATGATGTTCCCTTGATGGGTCATGAAATGCCTGCAAGGAAACAGCCCAGCTCAGAAAGCACCAGGGATCCCACAGAGAAATGCACCAAAACGCATAAAATCCTTTGCTTCAAATTCCCTCAATGTTCTTTTTCCCTGCGACATGTGGGACCCCCCCCCAAAAAAAAATATATTAACCAAATCGTGGTTTAACGGGATGGGAAGATTCACCCAGCGGGCTATAAACCAAGGCCTGGGGCCTTTGCTACACTCAGTCTTTGGCTGAATTTAGCCCCTGGTCAGATTTACCAAAATGTAACCGGCTTCTTGAGATCGAGCGAAAGTCAGAGCTTCCTCCTTCAGTCTCATCATCTGTTCAAAGCGCGGCTCCGTCCAATGTTTGGGTCCCAGTTCATTGGGATAAGATCTAAAAATAAAGCGAAGACAAGGACGAAAGAGTCAGGTGTTGTTCCCCGCCAGTGGCCAACAAAGCTGGCAGCAGATTCGGACAGTGAGGAGGTTGGGGAGGAACCTGGGCCAGTCCTGGAGTCTGGGGAAGGCTCTGAGGAGGGCTCTGTGTCGGAGGCAGAGAGGGGGCCAGAGCCGTATGCCTGTTATCAGCTGCCTTCGGAGTCAGACATCAGTGAGGCAGAAGAACAGCTGGAGCCTGTTCCAAGTGTGCGCATGCGCAGAGTTGCCAGACTAAGGGAACGGCTAAGGAACAAGGGCTGACTCAGGAGTAAAGCCACAAGTGGACAGTGAATGTTCCCTCCCATGGGGAATAAAAGAGGAGCAACTGGGGAGTGGAGTTTGCAGGAGACAATTAGTTCAATTCATTCCAGTGAAGATCTGTTCCTAACTTCTTGCCAAGGAATTGCTGCTACAGCATGGAGCTTGGAAGATATCAGCCTGGCAGCTCTCCAAGGCTGAGAAAGGCCTGTAGTTGTGAAATCTCTTGAAAGACTGTTGGCCGGGAATTTACTGGAGAGGAATTCCCTTTAAACTAAATAAAAAGAGGTTTTATCTATCTATCTATAAATGGCTATGTATCTGTGTGTGTTTATTCCAGCATAACTCTGGAACGCCTTGAACAATTTCAACAAAACTTGGTACAAAGATGACTTACTCTCTGGAAACAAATACTGTTGGGGTAAGACACCCCTAACACCCCTCGGTGTGTGTGTTCTGTTAAGATACGCGCTGTTGTGCCCTAAAATGGCCTCTACTGTACTGGCGTAAAATGGCTTCTCCTGTGCAGCGCAGTGGTGTTGCCATGGGAACGGTTTCACAGTACTCCACAAGGGGACTAAAGGGAAAGTTTAGAAAGAGGCACTCGGTTCGAGGGAAGGGTAGACTGCCTCTGTTCAGAAAGGCTCTATTGGAAGGCCTCAGACAAACGCACCTGGGCTCTTCCACAGATCTCCATACGATGGACCGGTAATGTTTTTCCACCGCGCCGAGCCATTCCTGCAGCATTTGCGTGGTGTTGTCTACATTGTGATCCGTGGCGCACCTGGGAAAGGGAGGGGAGGAGGGCAAAATAGATTCCAGTTGCTGCCCAAAGCTGTGGGTCCGAAGCTCTGTGTTCAAATCCACCCGTTTGCTATTTAAAAATTTTAAAAAATTGAGCAGCTTCGGGTCAAAAGAAGCACAAAACAGCCCAATGTATTGAAGATTCTGGAGATTTCAAAAGAAACAACAATGAGAACCATTGTGGGTGATCAGAGTTCTGCCTCCTCTTTCACACCCCAGAAGTTTTGGACTCCAAGGCACATAAATCCACTGTCTGGGGATTATGGGAGCTTTCCAGCACATGCCAGGAGCGGTCTCCCCCATATAGTCTTAGGGGAAGCCAGTTCTTCCCCATGGCAACATTCCCCCTAGTTCTCTTTCGGCATGATCAGACCCAGGAGTGCCCCCATGCAAAATGGAAAGGTCACCACTAAGAGTAGACATCACCATCAGGGGTAGGTTCCTACCTGCGTTGGTACCGCTTCGCTTCACGCGCACTTTGCAGTTTGCTGCAAATTGTTCTGCGCGGGCGCAAAGACCACAAAAAACTAAATTTAAAAAACCATGCCGGCAATGGCAGTGGAGAACCGGTTCGGGGGCGTGGCCAGCCTGAATCGCTGCCGGTGCTGTGACCCAGGCCAAATTAGCACTACCGGTTCACCTAGAAACCCACCTCTGATCACAGTGCTAGGACCCCAATCCACAACTTTTCAACAAGTGCACTGTGGCTCCCTCAAAACATTCTTAAAGATCCATCCCATCCTGGCAACCCCGTTTTTTTTTTAACTATTACCATCTGTCAGCCGGTACAGGACAATAAAAACCAGGACAAATAGGCTGAAAAAATAGCTTCTATCCCAGGGCAGTAACTATATTGAATTCTACTGTATATAGTGCAATATTAATGCCAGATCAGGGGGTTTCTATTTCAATTATATAGAATGTGAAGGAGGTGTGTTTGTGTTTTTATTTTTATAGTTTTCTTATGTATGACTAGCCGGATACCCATGATCTGCTACGAAATTATGTCATTGGGCTTACTAAACGGATACTTACAGCTTGAAAATTAATGAGCAGTTACGATCAGCCTCTCCTCTCCCCTTCTCTCCCTCAGGCTGGCCCCATTGATCCTCTCCTCTCCGCTTCTCTCCCTCAGGCTGGCCCCATTGATCCTCTCCTATCCCCTTCTCTCCCTCAGTCTTGCCCCACAGAGGCCTCTCCTATCTTGTCCCCTTCTCTCCCTCAGTCTTGCCCCAAAGAGGCCTCTCCTATCTTGTCCCCTTCTCTCCCTCAGTCTTGCCCCAAAGAGGCCTCTCCTATCTTGTTCCTTTCTCTCCCTCAGTCTAATTCCTTAGCATCAGACCATTTTTCGGGTGAGGAGAGGGAGTAGAATGTCTGAATTCCCAGCCCACAGAGCGAATGAGTCATATGCTGGCCACGCCCATACCTGAGTGGTAGTTGGAACAGAGTTCTTTTCAGGTTGGGAGGGGGAGTAGAACATCTAACTCCTTAGCATCAGAGTATGTTAATCATAATGTAAGAAATACTAACGACCTGATGGTCACTTCGAAAAATCCTTT